TGTCATAAATACTTCAAAATGATTCTAGAGCAGCTACAATTTTATAGGTGAAGTAATGAGGTTGGTAAAAATGCCCTGGGAGTACTGGTGCTTGATGCCAAGCCTGAAAGAGGGAGTCTGCCCATTGCTGTGCTTTCTCAGGGCAGGAAGGAGGATGAGCAGGAGCCAGATTCCCCAGAGAGACATGACAGCCTCTGTCCCCTCTCCCTAATTTACTGCAGCTTGTAGGTGGGTCATGTGACCCTGAAACCAACAAACTGTTCCTTTTCAGATGACAGGATGCACTGTACCCCTCAAAGGATCTCACCCCCATCCTTGAGGCTGTATCTCTGGACAGGAAACTATACAAGGAGGCAGGCACTTCTACCACTCATCTTTCTGGACGATTTCTTCTTACTGCTCTTGCCCCATCTCCTAGGTTGAGTCCATCCTTATTCCCCTTAAGGCTGTTGTAAAAACCATTTTACCCACCTCCCCCTGTGTTTTTTCTTACCACTCTTAATCTTTTCTACATATTCCGTAGGTTGAGTCTGAGAATAGAAACGCCATTTTTTTACAAAGAAGGAGAATGGTAGAGGTGGAGATGTGTGAGGCCACATACTATACAGGAGCTCTGGTTAGGTCACTTACCATCTCAAAAATTGTCAGTGGCTCCCTAGTGCCCACTCAATTAAGTTCAAAATTCTTATTCTGACTTTCAAGTCCCTTTGCAGTAGAGCTGCAGTTTGTCTTGACAACCATAGTCTTCCTACAACATCCAGTAAAAGAGGGCTACTAACTATTCCTCAAGCTGGTGAGGGCTCTTCCATCTTTCTTTACTCTTGTCCTTCCACCTGGAAAGTCTTCCTGCCCCTTCAAAGTCTGGTGTGTTATTCAGAGCCCATCTCAAACACCACATGCACCTTTATACACTCACATGCACACTGGCACTTCCTTTTTTCTTTTTCTTTTTTAAGTGACAGGGTCTTGCTCTGTTGCCCAGACTGGAGTACACTGGGCTGATCACAGTTCGCTGTAACCTCAGACTCCTGGGCTCAAGTGATCCTGCTGCCTCAGCCTCCCAAAGTGCTGTGATTACAGGTGTGAGCCACAATGCCTGGCCTCTTCCCTCCTTTTCTTGTATTCAACTCCCTTATTTTATCAACCATAGCACTTTGTACTTTTTTCATGGCAGTTGTCCTGTTTCATGGCAGTTGACCTATTTATTTTTAAAAATCTCTTTATTTTGAGACAATTGGAGACTCACAGAGAGTTTAAGAAATAATAGAGGAACTCTGTGTACCTTTAGCCAGTTTCCTCCAAGGGTAACATCCGGCAGTATTACAGTACCATGTCACAACCAGGACTCTGACACCCACTGCACCTTGAATGAAGCCCTGTGATTTTGTCCTTCGCTTTCATCCCTTCCTCAGCTCTTGGAGGGAAAGGGTTCTGTTCTCGCCTCGGCTTTCTCCCTGAGTTACCCCTTCCTTTCCTCAGGGCCTTTCCAGCCTGAGGGAGAAAGGCACAGTTTGGCTTCCTGCGTCCCTTGCTGCCGCGCTGCGGCGGCGATTCTCCCAAATGTTGGTGGCCTTATATTGTTCATTGGGACTTCCAACATTGTGGCTTCCCTAAGAGTGACGATCTGCCCTCCTTTTTGGGGATGGAGGTGCGAACTGGACCGGCAACTGAGGGTCCCGGGGATTCATCTCTTCCTTGGATTTTGCCTCCCGGCACCCCTCAGGCACCCCGTGGTCCTTCACGTCTGCCACCGCGAGGCCAACTGTTCAGTGCTTTAGGATGGAGCCTCCAAAGCCGTGGTTCCTTTGAGCCTTGTGAAGTCTTTTGTTTTGGTGAGTGCTGGAGGGGCGCACCTTCGGCCTCTCAGGGTGCGGCGCTTCCGGCACCCCCTATCCTTCTACCGCTGAGCCCCGGCGTGAGCGCCACGTGCATCCGCGCCGCGTCCCGGGCAGCAGCCCGCCGCCAGCCGCCCGCGCCACTTCCTGACGCGCCCCGGGACCCACGGCCCCGCCCCGCGGCCGGGCTGGGCTGGCGGCGAGCGCGGCTGAGGTACAGGTGCCTCGCGGCGCAGCCGGGTCGCCCTCCAGCCCGTCCACCTCCAGACCAGGGCCCGCGCCCCGTCCCGCCTCGCACGTCGCCTCCCTCTGGCCCAGCCAAATGCAGGCCGCCGCCCTCCCTGAGGAGATCCGTTGGCTCCTGGAAGGTAACGCCCTGGCGCAGGCCCCCTCCAGTGCTGAGCCGAAGGCAGGAGAGGAGACACCAGGCCTCCCCCGGCCGGGCTTTCTCTTCAGCTCCATCACTCACCTCCTTCTAGAACCTCAAGGCTTCTAGAGCCCTCAACTCCCCAGAGCCAGCTTTCCATCCTCTCACCTCAGGACCCCTTTCACTCCCTGGAGTCCCACATCTTCCTCGAGGCACCTCCTCGCCTCCATTTCACCTCCCCGGCTTCTAAACTCCTTCAGGCCGGGTTCTTGGTCCTCATGCCACCTGGCCTGGTCCTCCCCCTGTCCCTTCCTCTGAGGGACTTCCCTACATCTGTGGGTTTCCCGTCCCCCCTCCTTCCCCAGCCCCAACTTCCTCACCTCTCACAGAAGACCCCAAACCTTCCTGCTTTGAGGCCCCTGAGGCTCTCCAGGGGGCTGCGAGGGGCTCATGGGATCCCCATGGGCCAAGGCCCGGTGGTTGACCCGAGTTTTGTCAGAGCGAAAACCCCGGCCCTCCCTTTATCACCCTGCAGACGTTTAAGGGGTCTCACCCACCCCAAGGCAGGCTCGTTCTCAGTATGGCCTTAACTCCTTTTCTAGAAGTGCTCCCATTTGGTGTGTTCACCTTCCCACTACAGTGTCTAAGCAGTGGTTTGAAGAGTTTCGGCCATCCTCACCAACACTCCACACACACTGCCAACACTCCAAAGAGATATCGCAAAGAGATATGGCAAAGAGACGTCGCTAATGGGCAGTTTCATCTGCTGGGTTTCATGGTGAAAGTCACTTTTACTTGCTTTCCTGTGACTAACCTTCCAGGGAGGATAGAAGCCTGGAATCTGCAGTTGCATAAGGTCCCAGGAGGAAACTATTCAGAATTAAGCCTTTTGGCATCTAAGTTGACATATTTGACACATATTTAACAGATGGCCTGCTTTGGGCAGGTCATATTTTTGGCAAGCAGTTATTTTTTTCAGTTTCTCTCAATTTAATCAGTTTTATATCTCCATTACCTTGTTATCTCGGTATAATGCCTCCTAATCAAATATTTGGCAAGTCCTTTTGGTCTCTGTTTGTAGCACTGTTTCCATTCTGGATTGCTTCTATGTAAAAGCTGTCAACTAGATCTTTCTTTTGAGGAGAGGTTTCCAAAATCCATTTTACTTGTGATGAGAATAAATTTAAACTTTGCGGGTAGAAAACTATTTGCAGGGTAAAAGAGCATTATCTGGGTGTCTAAGAAGAAGCATTCCAGCCTTTCCCTTTGTTGTTGGTTTAATGTTAGGCTTGTGAAAGAAAGCTGTAATTGTCTTTGGTTTCTAAGAGAAGGAACTATGGCAAAAAGTTTAACTCTGCCCTTGCATTGAAAGATGTAAAGTGATTCTTTTTATTGGTATCTGTCATTTGGTGAGAGGAAACCTATTTTATAAGCTTGTTAAACTATACTTCAGTTTTTTGTCTAGCTTTGGTAGAAAATTCTTTTTATTTTCAGAGGCTTGCAATGAAATTCACTCCTTCAGCATTTTTGATGTGCAGTTCTTTATTGTTCAAAACTGACACTTTGGTAAACAACTCATTTCTGCACCTGCCACCTTCCTTTAGCTTAGATTATTTTCTTGTTAGCTGACTGTTTTTAATTGAAGTCTTCAGATCTCCTTCTAAAGCAGAACCTTTGTTTGCTGACAAGTAGAGCAGGGTATGAATGGAGATTAATTGCATGTCACATACTTCTGTATCAAACTTGCTGTGTCTTAACAATCTCTGTTGGTGATTTAAAATATATGAAGGAATCTGAAACTAAATTATAAGGAGCTTCGTTGGTTAAAGTATTTCTTTAAGGCTTTTTTTTTAAGTTTGCAATTAGAACTTGAATCTGAAGTAGAGAAAAGGAGTGTAAAGTGTGATTCATCCAGTGATTTTACTGAAAAATGTTTGAAGAATATGTTTTTGAAAGGTTTCTATAATAATAATAGCAACATGTTGGTTATAGGTTTTATTTCTTATGGAACATAGTCTCTGCTGTAGTACAGGAGCATTATTCATTGTGTTACAAATAATTTGTCGATATTAGAAACCCAAAATGGCCATCAATTTGTTGTTTGTTGCTATTTGTCTCTCCCACCACACACTTTTTAAGGTTAACTGTTGAAATTAGAAAAAATGGAGGTCCTGACGTCTATATAGTTACTCTGTGAGAGGGAGTCACAGGATGTGAGGACTGCAACTCTAGTGCTGCCACATGGCTGTGGGGGTGGGGTTTCCACAAAGAATTACGACTTTCATAAACCAAGGCATAAGCATTTGCACAGTGATTTAATGCTGGACATCACAGTCATAACTTAAGCATTTATTTATTTATAACTACGTAAGCATAAATGTATTTTCTGACATAATGTGTGTGCTTTTAAGAATAAAATATGTAAAGTATTATGAAAGGTTGATAACAAAATTTTGCATAATGAAAAAGAAAACAGAAATTCTCAAGGCCTAAAATTAATTTTGTTTAAATGTAAACTTTTAAACGTTTAGAGATGTTTCACTTGATCTAGAAACCTCACTTCTAAAAATCTGTCACTGAAACTTAAAGGACATAAAGTAGTATATGCACAAAGATCTATCCTAAATGTTAGTGAGTTGGGAGACTCAGGGTGATGATTGAATGAATTATGGGACATTTGTCTTACAGAATACTTCACAGCCACTAAAAAAAGATTCTGTGGATCTATATATAGGCTTGAAAGGCATCCATGGCATATTTTTAAGACTAAATGGCAAAATGCATGATAGAATATGTAATATCCCATTTTTGCTTGAAAACCAAAGGACAAAACCAGAAAAGATACATATGTTATAAATGTTTGTGTAAGCCTAGGAAGAAGTGAAAAAGAATACATACCAGTCTGTTAACATTGGCTTCCTTGGGAGAAGAGTGAGAGTTTGGAGGAGGGGAGGTTATTATTAATTTTTATTTCATACATCTTTGTGTTGTTTGAATTGTGACAACGACCATGTGTTATTTTTGTAAACAGGAAAAAAATAAGTAGTAAGGATATTTAAAAGAAAAAGGAACAAAAGACAAATAGAAACTCAGAGAGGTCAGATTGCTAATGGATCATTAACTATGCTTGTGGTCATGTTTTTCTCTTTTTAGCCCTGAGGGGTATGGAAGGTGGAGAAATTAAAAAAAAAAAAAAAGCTCTCTTGGATTTTTGGCGAGTATCAAAACAGTGAGAGGCTTCTAGGGTAACTCAGGAAATAGCTTCTTTAGATAGACTTTGTCAAGCTCTCATATAGAAATAGTAACTAGTCCCCTATCAGCAAATAAGTACCCTATAGATAAGTAAAATGAAGGGTGCTTTCTGCTTTATTGAAAGAGGAGGAAATATTCAGGTCTGTTTTCAAATAATAGGGCTTCAGATGTAGAAGTTATCTTTTTGTTTTTGTTTTGTGATAACCACGCTGAAAACAAAAACAATGAAGTGTTGGCAGTTTGTATAATCTTTGCTTCACAGATATAAACATAATTAGTCTCTGCTTCCTGGTCTTTCTAGCCCCGCTTTTGAAGTCAAAAGCAAAAGAGGTGAGTATGAAGGAGGTAGAATAGGTATTTCTTTTTTTCATAGCTTGTCCTGTGTGATGGAATGGGGCCTACTGACTTTACCCTGGTAGCTGATATGTCCCAACTGCCTACATGGTACTAAATCCTGCCCAGAATATGGATTTAAGCCAAAATAACATCAACAACCTGGCTGCATGTAGTAGCAATTGCTGCATTAATGCTGATTCTGATATGAATACTTATTTTTAAACTTCCTTGTAAAGAAGAAGTCATTAATCATTTCCTTCCAGATTGTTCTCCAGACCTGTATTGGTCAATGCAGCCAACCATAAAATCCATTTCCGTATAGTAAAATTCCAACTATGGGGAACTTGCAGGAATGAGTTGCTCTGGATAGCTGAGATTTTCTTTAAGCACTCTTAATTTTTTATTATAAACATTTGTGACCAGTTTTTTTCTAAAACGCATTAGGAACTTTTCTTTAACCAACTAGTCTATGGCTGTCTTCAAATGGACCTCTTTAGAGCACTGTTTAACTCAAAGTTGTTATTGTGAATATCTATTATCACACTTTATGGAAATGTATTGTGTAAGATGTTTTGGCCATAGTTGCCCCTGAACTGCTTTGTAAGTATCTGTGTCTGCTTTATATTTTTATTTTCATTATTTTTTTTCCTGCTGTAAGGCCAGGGCCTATCACTTTGTACTTTTGTCTGTGTGTCTACATTCCCAGTGTTTCTGGAACATCAGATAACCAAGTTAGTTGAAATTGAGATATGTGTAAGAGAAGTTACAAAGGGCTTTCTTGATTAACAAAGTATCCACACCTTTAACTGTGGGCTTTGTAAGATGTATTTTGGCTGCTCAGAATCTTTTTTGCTTAATTTTTGACACTGGATTGCTTCCAGATTGGTAAGGCTACTGCTCAGTTGAATTCTGAAAAGTAAGATATGACTATAGTTCTATTCCTTTTTTATGTTAAACTTTTCTGATTATAAAAGTAATAATGCTAATTATAGAAAATTTAGAAAACATGCAATAGGATACAGTACTCAGAATCAATAATTGTTAAATTTCCATGTATTTTTCTCAGTGTTTATTATATGGATTTACCTTAAAAGTTGGGATATATTTGTGTATAGGTTCGTATATTGATTTTTCTACTTACAGTTTTTCACTTGTTATTGTCTCCTGAGGGTTTTCTTTTCTTTTCTTTTTTGAGATGGAGTCTCCCTTGATGCCCAGGCTGGAGTGCAGTGGCACGTCCTTGGCTCACTGTAACCTCTGCCTCCCGGGTTCAAGCCATTCTCCTGCCTCAGCCTTTTGAATAGCTGGGACTACAGGCACTTGCCACCATGCCTGGCTAATTGTTTGTATTTTTAGTAGAGGTGGGTTCACTGTGTTAGCCAGGATGGTCTCGATCTCCTGACCTGGTGATCC